GCGCAGATGACGGGAATGGATTCATAGTATTGGGGGCCCCGGATGGATTGTGGTGGTAGTATGGTAGTAGTATGATGTCGTAGTCAGGGTAAACTAGACCATGCGAACGGATTTCAAGGCGCCTGTGGTCGATCATATAGTTAGACTTACTCTTTAAGTGTCCCCAGTGCTTGGTTAACTACTTTATTTAATCAATCAACTGAGAATGATTAATTAGCATTACAATTAGTTGTTAGTTAACAAACTAGTTAGTTAGATGGTTGACTACTTTGAGATAGTATAGTAACTCGTCAAACTGCATGCACACATCAGGTGACTATCACCTGACCGCACTTACACAACGTGTTTTTCACCCCCTTTTGATTGGGGAACTCTAAGCTTCATGCGGGAGGAATTTGCAGGAGAACCTCGGGTTCAAGTTGCGGGAGAGGAACCGGTTATCAGCCGACAATGGGGGACGGACGAAGAAAGCAAACCAGGAACATCGGCATCTGCTGATGGGCTCCAAATCAAACCTTTTAGTTACTCGATGGCATCGAGTCAGCCGGCCTGGCGATTAGATAGGCCCTAGCCACTAAGTGGACCCGTGAACGACTGTGAGTCGCTGGTCGAACTGGGGCACCCCCGGGCTCGGACTGATTGCGGAGGACCAGTGGAGATGCAGAACAGCAGACAAGCCCCGATATCTTCCCTTGAACAACTGATAACGTTCATGCTTACTCGACCCGATCGAGCAATGGAAAATGATTATCGTCCTTTGTGCTCGGCGCTCCTGGTCCGTCCGACAAACGGCCCATGGAGGGCGATAAGCTCGCTTCACATGGGTGGCGCTGGCCAGGTCGATCCCGGCCCTCTTTTGACCAATTTTCTTATCCTTATCTTGTGTCAAAAAGGGCAAAGGAAAAAATAAAGCACAGAAATAAGACATGGGTGAATGAATAACTCACTTCGGTGTCATGCTGGCGTATCCAGCCATTATCAGCCCAGAATCCATGATGGAACCCGCTCCATATCTGTCCCAGCACCCGCCTTGATTGGCCCATCGCCGGGCGATGACGCCGATAGTAGTGCCTTCCAGTTCTTCCTTTTAGTATACGCCCAGACGGACAAAAGTGTTTATATCTCGTCGTTCACCCCCCTGGGACTGTTGGGACTGCACAGGTGAAAGAATTTATTACCTCTCTTCTCTTATCTTCTGTTCTTCCGTGGCTTCTGTTGCGAGCATATATAACCCTGGTGGTTCCGTTCTGCCTCCCATCCAGCCCTAAAAGAAATATTGTCCTCCAACCCCACCCCCATAACCAACAAACCAAACCTACTACTCCGACCATAGCTATCGATAACACCCCCGGTACATATTGTCGCTGCGTCATTTGGTTTTTCAGTTCCAAATTCTGTCGTTTGTCAACATACCACATAGGCCAGAGATGCCTCGAATTAAAGAATGGATCGAAAAGCTCGAGGTGCCTACGGAGCCCGGGTTGACCAATACGCAATTGATGTTGACGAACCGTGACTTGCGGCCAGGTGAGATCATGAAACTGGCAGGCGGATCACATTGAGACGCTCCGTGCTTGTGCAGCCGGATTCAACCAGAGGACACTGGAAGCTGACCGTGTGCAAATTTGATTTCCGCCCTCTGCAGTCGAACACGAGCGTCGTGAATGGAGATGGTACAACTTTATCGCCTTTTGGATTGCAGACTCTCTAAACATTGTGAGTGTCTCGTGCTGCTGTGGTGTCAAATCGAGTCTTCATACACTGTACATTGAACTAACATAGTACTATGCGTATAACAGAACACATGGATGATTTCATCTTCGATGATTGTCGACGGTCTGTCCTGGTGGCAGGCATGGATTTGTGTCTGGGTCGGATATTTCATCGCCGCTTGTTTTGTCTGCTTGACCGGTCGCATCGGTGCAGTTTATCACATCTCATTCCCGGTCGCATGTCGAGCTAGCTTTGGGATATGGGGTTCTTTCTGGCCCGTCTTCAACCGGGCGGCAATGGCTGTCGTTTGGTATGGTGTTCAGGGCTATATCGGAGGTAAGCCTTTCCACCAGAGCTCATAGTACAACAATCCCCTTCCGGATGAGCAAAGCTAACCCCGAGTACTAGGCGAGTGCGTGACCTTGATGATCGAGGCCATCTGGCCAAGTTATAGAAATATCCCCAATCATATTCCCGCAAGCTCTGGCGTTACCACCAAGGACTTTGTGAGCTTCTTCCTGTTCTGGCTCCTATCACTGCCGGCTCTCTGGTTCCCGGTCCATAAGATCAGACATCTCTTTACCGTCAAAGCCATCTACTCTCCCATCGCCGCCATCGCCTTCTTTGCCTGGGCCATCTCTCGTGCTAACGGAATTGGCCCGATCGTGCACCAACCCGCCACAGCTCACGGAAGCACGTTGGCCTGGGCGGTAGTCAAGTCTATCATGAGTTGTCTCGGCAACTTCGCTACGCTGATTGTTAATGACCCGGATTTCTCGAGATTCTCTCGGTCGCCGAAAGACGCGTTGTGGTCCCAGCTACTCACCATCCCGATCGGGTTCGGCATTACCTCCTTCATCGGCATCATCGTTTCGTCTTCTTCTGCTGTCATCTTCGGTGGTGACTTTGTGTGGAACCCGTTGACGCTTTTGGGTCAGTTTTTGGATGGCGCCAGCTCGGCCGAACGCTTCGGAATCTTCGTCATCTCGACTGGCTTTGCTCTGGCCCAGCTGGGGACCAACATTTCTGCCAACTCGGTCTCTGCCGGTACCGATATGACGGCCTTGCTGCCTCGATACCTCAACATCCGCCGGGGTAGTTATATCTGCGCCGCGATCGGCCTGTGCATGTGTCCGGTATGATTATTCTCTCTTTCATAGTCTGTGTGGTCTGAGAAAAGCTAATAGACTCTTAGTGGAAACTTTCGTCTTCATCCAATTCATTCACCACTTACCTCTCAGCCTACTCCATCTTCCTCTCTTCCATCGCCGGGCCCATGATCTCCGACTACTACTTTGTTCGGAAAGGGTATCTGCGAGTGAAAGATCTGTACAGTGTTGGAAATGACTCAGCATACCGTTACACCTACGGCTTCTCCTGGCACGCATACGCCTCGTACCTTGCAGGCATTCTTGTTAATATTGTCGGGTTTGCCGGCGCAGTTGGGCGTACCGTGCCAGTGGGAGCCCAGTATATCTACAACATCAACTACTTTTCCGGGTTCGTCGTCTCATGTGTGATGTATTACGCATTGGCGCGGCTGTTCCCCCTCCCCGCCACCAGCAGCAAGTGGCATGAGGCGGATATTGACGCTGACGAAGACCGTCTGTCCGTAGCGGATGGGCAGGAGGTGTATCTGGAGGATGAGCATCCGACAGGCAAGCCGCTGGACGTCGAAGCTCCTGTTGACCAGAAGCACCCGAAGTCCACCGCTTCATCGGTGCAATGAACGAGACATGACTTTTTCTTTGTTTGTTGATTTGTATTCTAATGACTGAACGCATAACTTTTCGTGAGAAGGTACATATAAGTACAGTGCCATGAACGACCAGAATCTCATACCCAGCGAACTTGTTTTTTTCACTTTCAATACTGCAACAACTTCACAATACTTACCAGGGTCTTGTAGTTCTAGCCAAAGTGATCGAACCCGAGGGGAATGTAGCATTCCATGCCATGTGTAAAAGAGTAAGTCCATCCCAATCAGGTAGGTGGGGAAAGATAGTGCAGATGCTGCTTCCCCACTTGGCGATCCGCTCAGATCGGTCTTTCCCCTTTAGGATGTCATGGTTCTTCGGCGTTCTCGAGGAGGGAGAGACAGTCCTTCACCACTGTGGCATCTACTACTTACTACCTCTCTGCAGCGAATGTTCGTTCCAGTACTACTTCTTGCTCTATGGTTGCTGATTGCCATCGGTGCAGAGTGATGCACATACAAGACAAGAATGCTGTTTACTGTCGAGGATGGTCGTCCCTGTAATCTGTCCAGGTACGCTCTCACTCTTTTACTCAGGCCTGTTGCTGAAACTTGTATGTGTGTGTAGTATTGACGTGTGCGGGCTATTGACTCTCAATTCTTATCAGCAACACAGTGCTCCGCAGTTCAAGAGCAGCTATGCTTAGGACTTTTGAAGGAATAGATGAAATTGTTGAAGGCGGTATGTCCAGTTCTTACACCCTCATTGCTCTTCCTTCTCAGCCCCATCCTTATTTACCTCCTACTTGTCATTACTCTATCCTCTTCTGCTTTTCTCTTTATAATAACTTGAAATTGGGAGTATTTCATTGCTAACCGGGCAGTCAACTCATAGAATGACTCCATGCAGCAGACTGGTCAGCCCAAGCGACTTTGCCAGCTTGGTCGGCCTGGAATAGGAGCCTCAGGTATTGCTCTGAAGGTTTGAACTCTTAGCCCAATATACGCATAAGATTGCATGATGCGGGTACAATAATGTATACTCGAGCGAAGGCCTGCTGACCGATAAATCATCACGAGCGCTTGACGGAGAAATTGAGAATTGTAACCCCGATGTTCCACCTCTGTTTGACAGGAAGACAGATAAATCAGGAAATGGGGGTCTTACGTGCGAACCGAACAGCCTACAGTACATGAGCAATATGATATTATTGTACAATTTCTGAGTGTCGCCTGTCGATGTCCTTCACACTTGCCCATACTGGTTAGCGGATCGACAAGCTGACCTCCAGTGCCTGGAGCCCAGTCCTACTTTGCAAAGAGTGAGCGAATCAAAACCAAAAACCTCTTGTCGTCACCAGCCAAAAAGATCATTATCGATGTTTATGCTAGTGTCGACTGGACTGCGGGCTTTAAGGTACATCATACAGATCGCGTGACGTGGCGGGGTCTCTAGCTCTTTTAGTCTCGCCTTACTTGTCTTCACCTCCTATCTACCCGGAGTCTGCTGCTCATCATAACTTTTCAAATCACCATCATCAGATAATCGTCGTGTCGCTGGTCCGGATCAGGACGGTCATGACACCTCACAATGGCCTCGCTAATTGTCGTTATAGCCCAGCTGACAGTGCTCACTCTCGCTAGTCGGATGGTTTACCTATGCTACTTCCATCCTTTGGCACCCTACCCAGGCCCTTTCTGGGCCCGCTGTACGAACCTGTGGTTCGTGCTCACCTACTCATATCCCCTGCGTATTCTTGAAGCCTTTGAGCTGACAAGTTGGGTCTAAAGGCGGTTTTTCACGTTCATGACCGGCAGACTCCATCTTGCCGAACAGCAACTTCATCAAAAATTCGGTCCTGTAGTTCGTGTTGCCCCAAATTGGCTATCTTTTTCGAGCTTAGAAGACTTTGACGCCATCTATGGATTCAACAAATCTGTCGAGAAGGGTGACTTCTATGCGTTTGGGCGGAGTCCCAGCCAACGTGAAGCAAGTATATTTTCAACGAAGTCGGATACCATCCACCGCCACAAAAAAAGGAAGGTTTTAGGGCCGGCTCTTTCCAGTTCGAAAGTAGCAAGGTATGAGCCTGTTATCGAAGAACATGTAGCAATCCTTTTGGCACGATTGGAGGCATCACGACAACCGGCAGGGACAGCAATTGCAACTGCAAACGTGGCTCCTTTGATATCTCGGTTCACCCTGGATACAATGCTGGAAATCCTGTTCGGCTCAGCTATAGCATCAAACCCATATACTGATAGTGCCGCCGCCGGTGCTATATGCTCGCAGCTTCGCAAGATGACCAAGAGAGCATGGAGTTACTCTCTCTGGCCAATCTACGGGCGGATTATGAATAGCTGGGCCATCAATTACTTGCTTCGCAGCCTTTTTTACAACGGAGATGGGGCACAGACTGGGATGACTGGGCTCGCGGCTGCCGTTCACAGGGCAATCATGCGGGATCCCCAACATGTTATGCAATCTCCAAAGCCTGGAATCGTGAAAAGCTGGCTCGAAGTCCCTGTTGACGACGTAAATCGTATGAAACAGCCCGAGGTCCTAGCTGAAGCTATGAATATGGTCTTCGCAGGTCCCGGGAGCATGGCGGCCGCTCTCACGGCTATTGTATACCATTTGGGTTCGGAAGAAGGACAGGTCTGGCAGGATAAAATTCGCAGGAAAGGAGCAGTCTCTAGTCAGAGTATAACGGCTGCCACGATCCCCCTCGAGCTACAGGCCGTGATGAAAGAGGCGATGCGTTTTCAAGGAGTCTTTCCAACAGCATTTCCTCGAGTGATCATGTCGGGTGCTGAACGTGTCATTCCCAGCCTGTCAACACCGCTACCGGTCGGCACTACAGTGTCGGCGAATACCTATGTCTTGAGTCGGTCGCGCGAGATCTGGGGAGACGATGCTGATCAATGGATTCCGGAGCGATGGATTGGAGATGCTGAACACAGGCGGCAGATGGAAACAAAGTTCGTAGCCTTTAGCAAGGGTCCGCGAGGCTGCGTTGGGAAGGACCTGGCACTGATTGTACTGGCCAAAGCGGTGATGGGACTCATCCTACAATGGCAGATCATAAGCGTAGGAAGTCTGCGGGGAAAGAGCTGGCTGGAAATGCAGTATGACGACTGTTGGCTAGAACTCAGACGATTGTCCACAGCGCCGTAGATGGCTGCCGATGATGACTCGGTCGGCGCGTCGGGATCCCTTTCTGGAAGGTCGGGGTCCCTTTCTGGAACCGACAATGTCCACATCATGGCAATCTGTCGGACTGGGCTCTCTAATGACCAACTCAGTTGGTTAGGATCGCCTTGAAAGCTTCGTTGTCGAGATTTTTGCCTGAGTCACGGGGTCCCACATGTGGCTATTTATATGGAGCATATCGCTCTTGCTCCGTGCCGATCATCTTCAGTCGATCGATCCCATATTTCACCTCCTTAACAAAATTTAGCTCCGAATCATTTCAAAAAGACAAAGGATTGTGAAAAAGATTTTAATTTTCCTGAACTGGTCTTCATTCATTGATCACCTACCCTTCAGCTGCTACGTCGTCGTCACCAAGTTTGGACTATTCCCTCCTCGGTCCTCTCAAAGCACGCTCACCACCGCATTTTGAAGAAATGTTGTCTGGCGGGGCTCTTCCTCAAACACTGGGTTCCATCACTGCTACCAAAATCAAGGAACTCTCGAAACAACGAACACTGTTCGAGAAGCGAAGAGCAGAGATTGTACAAGCTGCCGAGGATGCCCCCAGTCTACGATCAAAGGCCCAAGTCCTCCTGGAAGGTGTAACCAAGCTAAAGGGATTCCCTAATGATGCACTTGACCAGGAGGACCTAGATACGGACGACTCATCTAATGAGGAATCTGCCGTTGTAGATCAGACTGAGCGCGCTACTCACGCTAATATTCGTCGCTTTCTTCTGCAAAGCAAGTATGATCCTTCTGTCTCAGACCGCAGCCTGAAAGGTTGGATTGCCCAGCTCGAAAAGGAGCTCAGTTACCTTGAGCTAAGGCATAAGCATGCCGACTTCTATAGCGAGCTGGTCACGGAATGGCTGCGTGACTTCGAAGAGGTGGCTGCTTCTGGCTCCGCAACGGACGAGGACGGGTCGCAAGAAATGGCTTTCGAAAATATTGGTCGGTCAGAAATGCACGAACAGCGAGCCACATGGGAGTCCCTGGTCTTCACAGAGGCAGATGTAGATGGGGCTGCCATCAAAGCCTACCTTGACAGTCTATTCAAAGCAACAACGCCCTCACAGCAAGCATTGAAGCAATTGCGGGAGGCAGTCAGGACATTCGGAAATGATTTTGCTTCGAAGAAATCTTGGCTTGAGGCCAGCGACCTCAAGTGGGTTTCAGATTCATTGCTGAAGTCCGATTTGCTCACCAAAGAAAAGATGGCCGTTCTGAAGGAGTTCATGCGCAACCCGGCAGTCGCCCAGGAGGTCGCGGATGTTCTCAATATGCGCCTTGCCTCTCTTGACAACTGGAGCTGGCCCGCAGAGGGTATCCCGGTAGAAATGCGCCGCCAGCTGAATGGTAAATACCGGGTATTCATGGACGAAGACCTGCTGGATGGTCTTATGCTCGAATACCTGGGGTTGAAATGGTCAGTGACATTTCAATCTGCCTTCACCTCATTTCTCAACACGCCAGCTTGGAAGTTTCTTCGCGAACAAATTTCCAGGCGCGAAATGTCTCGTCGTTCTCGATTCACGGGGACAAATGCCAAAGGCTTTGGTACAACGAGTGTCAACGACCACCGGAAGGAGACGTACAAACAAGATTACTTTATGAGCCTCCTACCTTCCTCGGTGGATGCGAACATGAACCCATATGGCGAGGACACGGAGCTTGATAACGCAAAGAAGAACCCACTGGAAACGAAGCACTCGCTGCTACATCTTCTGATTACCGAATCCCTCCTATATACCTCGTTGCACGGCCGATTCACTGCTATTAGATCTGATTTCAAGTGGTTTGGGCCCTCTCTCTCGCATACTACAATACTGGTTGTATTGGAGTACTTTGGCGTTCCGCGAATCTGGCTGGACTTTTTCCACAAATTTTTGAAAACTCCAGTAACGTTTGTACACGACGGTTCAGGTGCCTCCAGACGAATTCGGAGCCGGGGGGTTCCTATGAGCCATGCCCTTTCAACTTGTTTTGGGGAGGCCGTCTTGTTCTGCATGGATTTTGCGGTGAACCAAAGCACAGACGGGGCTTATCTATATCGGCTGCATGATGACTTCTGGTTCTGGGGTCACGAAGAGACTTGTGTCAAAGCCTGGGCTACAATGGAAGAATTTACCAAGGTCATGGGCTTGGAGATAAACGAGGAGAAAACGGGGACGGTGCGCCTGAAGGGCAAAGACGTGGAAGATCAACAAAGTCGACCTAGTGGCTCCCAGGAGAAGGAAGAGTCGGATCCCCTGCCTGGAGGAGATATCCGCTGGGGATTCCTGAAGCTGGATCCTTCAGAAGGTCGGTTTGTCATCGATCAAGAACAGGTCGACAGCCACATTGCGGAGCTACAGCGCCAGCTCTCATCCTGCAAGAGTGTCTTCTCATGGGTCCAGGCATGGAACAGTTACTTTGGGCGGTTTTTCGCTAACAACTTTGCGAAACCAGCCATGTGCTTTGGGAGAAGCCATATAGATATGGCCATATCTACACTGAGTCGTATTGAACGCACTTTGTTTCCCGAAACCTCCAGTGGAGTAACTGACTATCTGCGCCACGTGATTGCAGATCGATTCGGTGTTGAGGACCTCCCAGAAGGGTTTTTCTACTTTCCTGTAGAATTCGGCGGGCTGGAGCTCCTGAACCCTTATATACCTTTCCTCGCCATGCGCGAGAATATTAAAGCAACACCTAAGGGTCGGCTGCATAAGGCCTTTGTGCAATACGAGCTGGGATACCACGATTGCAAGCGGCGATTTGACGAAGGGACTTCTGCTGAGCCATCTACTTCGCTGAGAACCGAAGTTGACGACGACTTGGCTGATATGACTCTGGAGGAATACACCCGGTACTCGGAAACCTATAGCCGCCCACTTTTGGAGGCATACACGGAATTGATCCGTGTTCCTAAGGAGATCAGTATCAACCTGACCCCAGAATTGCATCGAAACCAGATGTCTCTGGACGAGAGCGTTACCAAGGATACCAGTGACCGCAAGGCGATCTCGGACATGTGGTATAGCATGTCAGCATATTGGCAGTGGACGGCAGAGTTGTATCAGGAAGAGATGGTAAAGACTTACGGGAATTTAGCAGCTGTGAATAGGGAGTCTATGCCTGTGGGGGTGGTCAAGACGCTGAAGGAAGGCAAACTCAGATGGCAGAGCTGATTCGGAGGGTGTGCTTGTTTGTGTACATTGCTTCTTGCTGATTGACTCACTCTGCCAAGGAGGCCTGGTGTACAATAATAATGACATAAATAATTGGATCAAGGGCTATGTGCTGTAGTTTGCCTCGAAGTCAGATAGTAGACGTCGAAGACGGTCCTTCTCCTTTTCGCCTCCGAAGATCGCATCGTAGGATTTTCTGCAGATGCCCAGCACATCGGCCCGCGTGAGTTGGAAGTGCTCTGCAGCTAACAGATACTCATTCGATACGGGGCTGCAAAAGAATCCTACATCGTCGGTCTGCACAAGTATCAGCTGGCGGTTCGTGTAAAAGAACGAGAGCGACTTGGCAAAATGAAAGTGGCAGAGACTCACGCAAAGCACAATCGGGCAGTCCTGATGTCTCCAATACCCGAAATGATGATCCAAAAAGCCACCGTCGAACATCTTTGCGTGCACATTACATGACATGCACAATTCCAGTCCGGGCTGTCTCCTCGCAATTTCCCGTTTCAGCTCTTCGGGCACATGAATCACATGGCCCAGCCGATCCGGCTGAAACTCCAACAGTGTCTCTAATTCTCTAGGCTTCGCCGCCTCCCTCATCTCGGCGAAATGCACAGTCAAGCCTAATCCATTAGCTTTGGCCTTCGCAAAAGCCTCTCGCAGCACCGAAACATCGCCCTTGGTTGGGTTGCCACAGACATCAATGCCCACGATGCCACGGGCGCGGTGGGCCAGCGCCAAGTCTACAATTTCCAGGGCCTCAGCAGTAGTGTGATGGCCCCTGTCCAAAGCCAGAATCAGATATACAGACATCTTTGGGGAACTGGGGGATTGATTGGCCTGAAAATCCGAGATTGCATCAAGAACAGTAGTAAGATATTCCTCCCGGGTGAAGGAGGAGGAGGGGGATGCACGGGGAATTGTGCGGAGTTCAAGGTAAGTTACGCCGTCGTTTTGGAAGTCGGTTAACACGGAATGGGTGGCGTAGGTGAGGCTGGCAAGATCATTGACTAGATTGTAGATTGATTTGTTGAAGGATTGAAAAAATCTGGATATTAAAGGTTGGTGGAAAGTGTTTTGAATGCATGTATGAGAGTGGAGGGACTACCCACGTTTGCAGCGAATAATCTACCTTCCCAGGCGGCATGGTTACCCATGGATCTTCAATGCTGAAGCCGGGTTCTTGGGCCTTCTTCTTGAGCCAGATCTCATGGAGACATTGGCGGCTGATACTGCCGCTGAGGTGGGCATGGAGCTGTGGGACGACACACATTAGTGATCCACCTTGTTTGTGCTTCATTTGCTGGTTCTGGAGGGTGGCTCAATTCGAATGAAGCGTGTTTGCACGGGATATTTACTTGCCTCGATTTTAGGAAGGGATTTGGTGAAGGAACGATCGACTGCTTTGGAGAGGTCCATAGTCGATCTTGGTCAGGTGTCTGTTGTACACGGACTTGAGGATGTAGATCTAAGCGTCTAAGTGGCTGTCCGTCTATCTTGTTGATTCTGATTGATGGATGGAGGTGGAAGTTGAGAAGAAGGAGGGGGAGTCCAAGTGGGATGGGATGAGTTGGCGAGTTCAGTTAGTTGGGGAAAGAGCAGGTGACTTTTGCTGCACTCGTGGTTGCCCAAGGCGCCCTTCTTGACTTGTTACGAATCTACGCTCACCTTCGACCATTCTGAAGCCATGAATAACAGTACGGAACACATGCCTTCTGATTCGAAGAATTGAGGGTTTTCCAATCGATACATTAACTATCTATTGGCCTTCCGCTGCCGTGACTGAACCAATGACCAAATCAGACTACCGCTCAGGCTAACTATATTTTATTCCAAAACCAGGAAATTGCACACAGCACGCTGCAAGCCCGCTCATTCCGCTATCCTAAGTCGAGTCTCTCAGTCGCTCGACGCACACAAGTTCCACATGGTGCCTAGAGCCTCAAATTAAAACACGGCATATAAACGAGATTCAAGATCCAGCGCACGGCCGTCCTCCCGAGACCGAGCACTTCCGGCACGGGTCTCTGACGTGTCAAGACTCGAAACTCTTTCCATCCGATTAGTCCATGAAAATAACCCGACAAGGAGATGCGGACAAGAATAAGCCGTATCGCGTCAGATTGTTGACTCGGTTTAGGATATGTTTGGGTCACGGGGGGTCTCCAGTGAGCCGTGTGATTCCGCTATCTACGAGGACCTTTCGTATCCATCGTCATGGAATAATTTCCGTGCCGGGTACACCAGCGTCGTCTGAGCGACCTGCAACAAGCAGGAAATAGAAAGTCCCGAGCCCACTCAGTACTTCCAATGAGCCTCGTTCGGTTCGTCCTCACGGCCCAGGGCAAGTTTCCTGGTCCTCTGCGGGTGTCAGGCGTCTGTACCACATCAGGCGATTAGTAGTCAATCTTGCTAGCATTTCTCGCCGATCTGACTTGCGCCTGAGTTTTTGCCAGGGCCTTGTGTTACCAGGTCCAATGATAGTGTTTATCTCACACATATTTCCAGAAGCATTGTTGATTGTTGCGTGGTTCTAGTGGGTGCTGGTGTCGTGCTGCTCGCAGCCTTGTAAGAGTGCTCCGACGTGAGAGACAGAATTTCTGGCATCATCTTAGCTGCTGATACCAGCCCCTTCTCTCACATCGGCTATCTTTCGAGAGAGCGACATATAAATGTCCGTTAATTGCTTCCTTTATCAGGTTTCGTATAGATTGAGGCCCTGTGAATCCGGATAATGTATCATTAATTCAAGTGGGGAGATTCGCGGCAAATGAATAGCCTGGCAATCAAAACCGGTCCCGAGACGCATTGCCATTGAAGGTGAAAGGGACACAAATAAAAATTACACCTTCACAAATGGCGCGACATGATGCAACGAGGCACAAAATTCCATGTAAACCAGGGTCAAAATGCCGTGAAACAAAGCGAGAACAGACACAACAAGGCAGATACCGCCTCTATTTGGTACGCCGTGCAGGCAGTTAGTTCGGCTTACTGCCCCTAATCAAACCCAGTGGCTCTGTCAAACAACAGCTTGCACTCAAAAGGAAAATAAAAAAAATTATAGACATGAACAGGAGTGACACGTGTCGCGAGGCAGTTCCTTACGCCAAAGTAGCAATTGAAGGCTATGCATGCACCGGCGCAGGAAGGTCAGGCTACCTGCATACGCAGCATCCAGTGACAGGGAGAGTCTGTGTGGTACGCACCGATGGCTGCAGTAATAGCACAGGGCAAACCGGAGTCCAATCTGATAACGGCAAGGGCGGCCGGCGACGCCGTGCGAGTTTCATTCTTATTGGAGTGGCAGCATATGCTGGATCGGGAATTGTCCCACTTGTTTAGGGCCTGTCTGGGGTCGTTCGCTTGAGAGTTTGACCACGGTAATCTAGATTGGAGTGAGAATCTGCGAAGCGGAATTAGCCGGCTTTGCGAGGACTGTACTAATCGTGTATCTGGCCTGTATTTTGTATCTCCACGGAAAAGGCAGACCCGCAGCTCAGTTTCGCCTCCGTCACGGTTCTCTGTAGGGTTGTATCGTCTGGCCCGGTTCTCGAAGGATTCGAGAAATCCATATACAGACGACTCGTCCAATGGAAAATGGTGGATGGTGGGAACACGGAGTACTAGCAGTCTCCAGTTTTATTTTTAGCCGATGATCCAGCTTGGAGCCCGAAAATAATAATGGTTAATGGTTGTGTGCTGTGACTCAATGAGATGCTTTCAATAACCCTTAATAACTGAAACTAATTCACTAACTAGTTAGTGAACCCTGAGTGGGTCACAATTCCGAGGCGAGTGCTTGCCCTTGACGTAACGTCATCAGTGCCATATTCAAGTTCAATTCAGCATCGTGAAGTCTGTTCGCTGTGGAAGATTGAGATAAATTTATTATCATTTTATCAATGAGTACTGATGTCGGGAAGACCTTGAAAGACATCATTGTTGTGGGTGGGGAGTATTCGGCCTTGTCTGTTTGAGAGAAGTTTCGCAATTAAGGAGGGGCAGCCGAGCCATTACGAACCTTGACAGCATCATTGGAATCCATGAAATGCACTTCCGGTGGGGAGTCTGGAGGTCAATTGTGTGGATGATGTGAGAACCCACTGGGTGCTTAGAAAGGAGAAGAATGTTCTCATAAAATCTCCTTGGTGACCTGTTCTTATTCAAGACCAGGTTGGACGCGACACAACCACATCAGTTGCTGTAGGCAAATGTACCAAGTTTTTTGTTTTTAAATAATAAACCCCATGAAAGATCCAATTTGTAAGAAAGGGAATCAGATGATTTGTTCCGTAACCCCACAAGCGTTGTACCTACAAGACGTCCGAAATTCAAGAATAGTCGTTGTGCGCCTACTATCTGTTCATTTCAATTCAGAAAGCGGACTCGATATGCTATTTTCTGGACGACTTACCAATCTAGTCTGCACTTTTTCCATTTCATATCTGACTTTCAGCAACATGGGCTACTAGTGACAGTGCTCATGAATCACTCGTCGCATTAAAAGTAGAATGAGAAGACCAAAGCAAGAGTTGAATGACATATGAGGGCAGTCCTTTGAAGCCATCATTCCCAGGAAAGGGAACAAAATCAAGTTCACAGAAGCATTGAGCTCATCTGGGATTTTTATTGTCAGTCAGGAAATATGTGACGTCCTTTTTCCCATTTCCCAAAGTGTCTGGCTGGCAGCCATGGCGATCCGGCTTCCGCATGCATTCATGATATCACTACAAGACAATCAACTTTCCATATGGAATATGCTCCATTTTTGAGGGTCTCGATAGGTCATCACTTGCCGCTGTGGCTTGAAATGGTACGATATTCCTATAAATATTGGACACAGATGCGAAATAGAACAGAAAGTTCTTCATCGTTCAGTGGCTAAGCAACGCGACCCTCGCATTCTGTGATGCGGTGCACTCCAAACATAAGGGCCATCTGCTCCGCGTGTATTTGACCGGTATAGGGATAAGTAACGGTGCGACTCATGATTGAACAGCCATAATAGCTGGGTGCATACTGTGAGGTTGAGGCAGTGTCAAGGACACAATTGACTTATTTGACCCAAGAACTTCACATATCCGCAACGATATTTGATAGACGATCCCTGGTTCAGATCTTTGGACAATGTCGATGGATTGAGACAACCGATAGTAAATACCTAGAAGAAGTTAGCAGTTGAGGCTAAGCCTGTTTAGTAGTAGTCCTACAAGCCATTGAATTCAGATTTGCGGTCGAACAAGTCTGTTGGTTGGGATATCGTATTGCCACTGCAGTGGGCCGAATCGGCCGATGCCAATAGTAGTAGCCTCAATTTGGGGCCAGGGACCTGGACCAGGGTCTCCTTTAGCACTATGCAAGAATAGTTGCTGTCCCGTCCCCGCCTAGCCCGGATGTTTTGTACGGCACGCAGACTACGGCGCAAGATCCCCGATCATTCGAATAGAATATGCCAAGTCAGAATGTCTCAGAACTGATCGGGGTCCGGTCCCGACAAAAGAAAAAAAAAAAAAAAAAAAAAAAAAGTGTCTTTGGCCCAGGTCACAAGTAATGTTTCTAACATCTCACCAGACGCAGGAGTTACACGCTGGTATACTGAGCGACGGGAGTCAGGCTGATGCATCAAGACAGTCAAAAGAACTATATCCCAATGTGGTGCTGATACGACCAGTGGCTGAGGTTGGGAGAGAAAGGCGGAGAGGAAAGAGGGAAAGAAACCAAACTATTGACAATCACGAGGCTTCATTAATTGATAATGAATGGAGTTGGCAGTGGAGGGAGGGCCTTTGCCCGTGCGTGCTGCATAGTCAATTGGAAGGACTCATTCGACTATCAGCAAGCCACAACACGTTGCCTGGCTGGCTGGCTGGCTGGCTGATAGGAAGGATTATCCATAACAGAGCCGGATAGCGGCATTGTTGGGATCAAGACTGAGGCGTTGGCCAAATGACACCATGCAGCATGCGCCGTGCGACCGGGGATTGGAAAGACCGAAGAAGGTTGAAGCATCGAAGACGCATCGAAGGAACAGGCTCGACGAGGCTCAGCTGAGACTGTGTCCACTCTTACAGGAAATAAAGGAGTTGCATCTTACCCCTCTATCGCCAACTGCTTGCTGGTATAGCCTTGCCTGCTCCCCCAATACCTACAAGGATGGCCGCACAGGATATGCAGCCTCGTTCTACAGGTGGCCTGTGGCAGGCGACAGGTTTATTAACTTTAGAGTTTCAGGGAAAAAAAGAAACGAGGCCGAAGACGGATTAAGGTACGGCAAGACTCACTATGCCAAAGTCAAAATGCTCAAGGTACTGTGGTTGTTACTAATGATGATGCTCTGTGTAATAAATTGTACCGTGAATGTATGAAAGCTCGTAACGAGCAACAGTATTTTTCATTGTAGGGCGGTAATACCAGTATCATCTGTTATTAACCCGCCACGGAAACCACTACGGCCCATCAAGGGAAGACCCCGGCATAGGGGGCGCAACGTTCCACTCAGTTGGAACGGCTCTCTCGGCCGCCTTCTCTTTGAACTTCAGGACATTGAAGTTAATTACTTGGGTACCCAGCCTAGATACTGCAGCTGGCCACAGCAACCGAAAACCTTTCCACATTTCCATCATGATAGATGACATGGATGGCAGGTAACAAGATATACTCTGCAGGGAATCGAATTTCTAATGTTTCGTTTAGATAAGTGAAAATTTCTCTATGACATATCGTACCACAGAATTTGATATTTTAGACGAGATCTCTTAGGGTTTTGGCAAAGGTCTATAAAAGGAGAGATGGAGGAGGACTAACAAGGAAGCTCTGGTCTGACGATATGGATCGCGGGCTATGGGATGGGACATGCTCTTCCCATCCCATAGGAAGAGTAGGGCAACCACCCGAGACATTACAGTAAGGTAACTCACCCGGGGTGTGAATTATTTAATACAAACGAGCCATGACTATTACCTGTACGATAACGAGACCCTGAATACGAGACATACTGTAGCATCGGCAAGGCGGAAACATGATCAGCCTTTGATATCTCCATTTCACTGGGTGATTCAATGACCGCTCCGTTCTTATATTTCTCAAATATCTTTAGAGATGTATCTCAGGTTTGCCCATAACATTGAGCTCCTGCGCCATTTTCTCCCCTCTGGTTGACCGACTCGACAAAGCTGTTCTGGCGCACGTCTCCGACTAGCCCTCAGTACTATGATGTCATAGTTTCACCCGGTTCTTTGCGTAAAGTAAGAATCTGACCAGTGACAAATTCTAGCGTAGTTACTGTGCTGCTCCCCCCATTAGTATTAGTAAGGATCTACGTAGTAAAATGTGCACAGATGCTTCGATTTTCGGTCATGGCTCTGAGAGGATTGCATTAATCAACTAGATCCTGCTTTTAGGTGTAAAGGGGGACTTAGGAAGGCTCTAGTCAATTACTAGACATGATGAATGGTCACTAACTCTTCCTTTGTTACTACGGCTGAAAGCGGCCACCACACCCTAAAGCCTAGTGCAGTAAAACATAAGCATAAGGGGTAGCAAGGGTCGCTTCATACTGCATCATCAGCCTGTGTGATCGTAGCAAGGAGTTCTCGGGTGCAAGATCCTGGGCGAAAGGAAACCGCAATCGAAGGCTTGGAAGCCTGTCAAGAGTGGGTCGCCGTTTGAAAACAGCCCCACGAGGCAGTGGTCTTATCCAATCGCAGTGGCTGCTTGGAATCATCCCTGTGAAGTTGGTTGCCCAGTATGACTCTTTTTCCCCCGGCCAGTTGCCGAGTTTGCCTTTCAGACAGAAAGCAGTCTGCATGGAACAGTAATTAGTAGATACTACATCAAGTTATAGTAGTACTATAGTGTTTAACTACCAAAGCTCTATGTAGACCGCACTCATTAGAAGGCTCAACTTCGGATATTAGCCATAGCTGTCCGTTACCCCTGGCGCTGCATAGGTACGCAAATAGGTATGCCTTTCACGAAGAATTATGTGCAGTGAGACTGCCTGAAATGTATGTAATGGTCAAGTACGCGCAAGCACGGAAACAATGCTGGCTACAAGCAGGTAATACTCCTCTCTTTTTTCTTTTATTTTTCCCATCATACTTTCCCGCAGTGTGGGACTTTCTTTTGGCAAGTAACAATGGAGCATCGTACCTTTTGGTTGTGAATTGATTTAGGCAGTAGGAAGTAAGTAGTTGACAGTCTGGCATGCGATAATGTTCCTTATGAACCAATGATATTGCTATGAGGTCTGCACGTGTGAACACTGAGCAGTCACCCCACCTTCAACCGCATTCAGCACCCGACTTGCAGCGCCTACTCAATAAAATTAGGTTAAAGCGCTGAACATGGAATTCGTAGTAATACGGAATCAGCACTAGTCAGCATGCTGTTCTAGCTGGCTATTGATGGTAGATAGGTAGCTTTTTCGGCCATACCTTGAATTTTTATTCCCTTCCTCTATCTCTTGCAATTAGAAAAAAAAAAAAAAAGGAATTTATTTCAGGTATCAGGGGAGCTGAAGAAGAGTCTATTTCCTACTAAAGGGATATGTGCGACTGACATACTAATACGTGCGTGGGCAGTCAAGCAATTCTGAGTAGTCACTAAACATACGTTTAAAGTAGTAAATAGCCATCATGATGACTTTGGCAGCTGTCAACTAATTTGACTGAATCCATCTCCTCCTTCACCGATTCCCGTTTGATGCGCCATTTTTCGCTCCGTAGACTAAGTCATACATAGCCAGCTTGACTGGATTCCATATCTCAACTTGGGACGGTGGTTATTGCCTGATCCATAGGCATTTAGTTCGGAACCAAACGCAGGGAAGAGGAAGCGGTCAAAATCATCTATGCACGCGAGACGGCGATAACCTAAAGCATGGGTCATCCTTCAGCTTCCCCTCTTTCTGATCAGCAGCATCAGCGGCTGCAAAAGGGAGGGTCTTGGATTTCAATACAGCCCACTAACTGCCTATTGTATGTGCATGCATACGAAATGCACCATGATGGTATGGATATCTTCCAAGCACGCACTGCACTTACTCAGCTACCTAATCGGACGCTACTATAGTAACGTTACAATCTTTCCTTATCAAGAAAGTTGAGCGCTCTTTCGCGGCGCTATCTTTGCATGAATGGGATAGCCTATGAATTCTGCTCATTATCAAGGGCGCATACCACCTTGCGTCGTCAGCTGGAAAGCGTTCGTTTGAAACCGATTGGGTGTCCCGTGATCACAAAGGAATATTTCCGCCACAGCCGCGATACATTGCAATCTAGGACGGATCGGTCGGAGCAAGATCGGGGTTTGATATCGTGGCTCTCAAAATGATTACCTGCTCGAAACCCACACCCTCCTCCTGTAGGAGTCAAGAGCGTTGACACCCTGCCACCGCACATGGTCATTTGCATCACCATAGCCTCCATCATTGGAGGGATAAATTTCCTAGTTCAGGAAAGGCTAGGTAATCCGCGGACGGCCCGGCCGATACGCTTGTGGTTGCAAGGTAGCTCACGATAGCCTATTTGATCGCAATAGATATGAAGAAGCCCTCATCTGCTTCACTATCGACAGTGAATGCCCAGGCTGAGAGTTTGGACCTCCATGTTGAGTATTATCCTGGTAGATGTGAATTCCCAAAATACATGACAGTATCAGTCGCTAGCATCTAGCCAGTGTGTCTCTACTGATGCCAAGTAGATGATCCTTTGTGGCCGACACGGAATGTTCTGAGACGAGCGGGGAAATGCTTTTTTAGATTCAAAGAGTCGTGGTCAGAACGCGAGCCCACCATTCAATGGCAGGGCCAGGGATAGATTGAGTGTAAAAAACTTGAATTGGCTGATGGTTAGATGATAGGACGACGATAGCAGCATCGCCAACTCAGCAAAATGGCTCAGCTTTGTGCGGGGTTGGGAAAACGCCCCGCAGCTTACTATTCACGGTTGCCTTCCATCAAGAATGAGCAAACGGGCTACTGCGAAATTGGCAGTCTCATTACCACCATCTCATCCTGGCCAAGGATTTTAAGTAGTCCATTAACATGTAGGGGGGCCATGCAGTGTCCATTCAATACCTTGGTAGGCAGGTGGTACATAAGTGCCTGTAGTTTGATCTGCTAGTGCCTGTTAGAGTCTACTACTTCGCCTAAGTCATTGAAATTCGAGCGACCGGAGCTGGAGCCACGGAGGACCCAAGTCCATGGTGTCATAGGGCAGATACTTGAGAAAGAAGAAATGGATTCGAAATGTAAGATCCACATTGAGTGAATTCTGTTTGGATGGACCCGTGATATTATTACCCCGTTCACGGCCGTTACCATAAGCTGCCTATTGTCTTTGTCCTCTCTATCCGCTCGAGAGAAATAGAGAAGCTCTTTGACCGCTTCTTCAAACTCCTCCTGCTGCTGCTGCTGCCGCCGCCGCCTTGGTACTACCTTGGGTATCAAGGTGTCGTAGTCCAGAAGCGTGCGCCATGAGGAACTCCAAGCATTGCCCTACTAGGTGCATGGGCGCGCTACCAATGGCCAATGACTTCAGACAGCTTGGCGAATGTGCTGAAGAATTTCGCCCAGAATACATGCACCACGAGCTCGAAAGCATCCATGTGTATGGAGCACACCGTAAACAAGGAAGAAAACGTTGATTTTCTTCTGTGCCGATTTATATTCCCGTCAGGTTACATGCTTCGAAGCATCATTGATACCTTCCAATCTCTTACCGTGGGATGGAGCCGTGGCAGTCCTAGGCAACTTCATCCATCCCGTGCTGCGTTTCCACTTTCCGGCCCCTTCCCCCTTTCCGCACCGCCCCGACTGGTTTCACTGCCACTCTTGCCTCAGCCTCAGCTTTGCAAACACGCGTGTAATATTACTACGACGGTACTAGCCGCGTTTCTCCCCCGCGTTGAATGAGGACAGGGCTGGGATGACTCAATCGAAAATCTTCTTGCTCTTTAATTTACCGACAGATTACCGCCCCTCCTTCTCCCTCTTGCGCTTGCATTCTTGTACCAACTACGAACCTAGAAAATGCAAGTGAACCACTCACAAGCTCCACAGTAATGTCGAGTAAGGATAAAGCGGCACCAGCAATCATACATTGCCCAACTCCCTTATCTTCCTTTTCTCCGTAATTTTCTTTTCTTTTCTTTTCTTTTTTGTTGGTTTTTTTCCGCCCCCCTTTTCCTCGCGATACCTAGAGGGAAAGAAACATGATTGCATCTCAAGGGAAATTAAAGGGCACTATGACGAAACGGGACAAGACAACTATTGCCAGCAAAAAATAGTATTTAAGTTTTAGGCGGTCTGCACATCCCTAGTCTGAATGAATCAGGTGACAATCCCCCGATTGTCGGAAGAGCCCAATTCTTCTCACGGTCGTACATGCAACTAGCGTCCTGGGGGAGGGGGCCTTGCTATTGCATGCAGTCTCTACAGTAGTCCCGTCGTATTTTCTGGCTTTTTGGAAAATTCGGGTGACAGGGATAAGGCAGGTTGGCATCAAAACCCAGAAACGGGAAACGAAGGGAGACCCCAGCGGGCGGGAATCCAAGATCCACATATCTCCCCATAGGGACCGCCGTGCCGGTGCCTCAAGAAGGATCTGTAACATCAATAATGATGATAACACGGTAATAGTGTTTGCGGATCGACAGTCAGGCATGCTTCGGATTCTCCTGCTCCCGCGTAGTGATGGCAGATACGTGGATAACTCCGTACTCCGTACCGAGTATCTGTGTATGCAGGACGGATTATCCGTGGGGAAGCTAACCTTCTTGCCTGAGAAAGAGCTCGTTACAACTAGCTATGGGATGAGATTGAAGAGGGGATTGTATCCACCGACCTTCCATAGCAACTAACGTTCTCTGTTCGCCTTCCCCTTTTTTTTTTCTTTCCCTTTTCTGCCTTGTCCAAACGATTCCCCCCCCAATCCGCCGCCTCCCGAAAAAGGTGAAACAACATACCTATCAGCTTGCCTGCCCCCACGATTGACAGTGATACCATCGACAAGGAGATGATCATCCAATAGATCATGTCCGTTCACTGTGCCACCGCCTACGATCTCCAAGAGGATGATTTACTGTAGGAAGTGGAGCGAACAGCTCTTGAGCATCTTTACCGATTGCGTTGAAGAGCAGAATCCTCGTGACTACATACTATATGGATTCCTCCGTAACAAAATGTTGGATTAGACGCTATGATGCCCAGATAGTAAGGACGTGGATAAATGCAGGGAGATCGAACGTTGGGAGAACTGGGAAGGGAAAGGAAAACAGAAAAGGATATTATTGGAAGAATAAAATAAATAAATAAAAAAATAAAAGAAAAGAAAAGAATGAAAGAAAGAAAAGGAAAAGGAAACGGGAAAAGAAACAGAAAAGGGCAGCAGTTATTTCCCAATATCATCCCTGAATGCCAATCAGCCTTCGTAGAAGGGCAGAAGAAAGGACAGAGGGTAGATTGGAGGAGCCTCATAGGATCTCATGATCGCGGCTAGTCTCATTATCGCTTGGGCTGCCGTTGCTATGCTTCGTGGAGTCGTGGACAGCTCACCCGTTTAACAGACTTTGATCTTGGAGCAGGTGCCCAGCAATGACGGCCCAGTTTGATTAGACTACCTTATTGGCATACCTGAACTAAAGGTTAATAATACTCTCTATCCCTTTCCTAGCCCTTAGCCAACAGTATATAGGACTTGGAATTTCTTCCTTTTGGCTACTTCATTGCTGCTATCACCAAGTTGTACTCCTGGGTTTGCTTGACAGGAAAAATTTCCTTGACAAGACGTTGCGCATTTTTCACAGGGGCTAGACGCATATCAAGAACGCAACAAAAAAAAAACGCCTCTGTTATCATCACTGCCGCCCACTACCATCATCATTATCCTGATCTTATATCATCATTACCTGAGCGTTTTCATTGGTACCAGAGAACCGGAGCCCGCGTTTTTTTCAAGACCTTCCTAAGACATCCAGGACTTGGCTTCCCAGATTATTGTTGCGGTACGGGTCCCGCAGGTAGGCTAGAAGAGGAAGGAAAAAGAACAGTGTTCCCTACTACTCCGTATCCGAATACCGATTACCATCTTTGGGCTTGGTCTGACGTGGGGTGGGAGACGGTCCTAACTTGTGGTTACATGACGAGGGGCAGACGCGTGGGAGTTTGTAACCAAGAAATTCCCAGTTGAAAATACAAAAATACGTACCTTACCAAACCACAGGTACGGAGTACGTCAGTAAGTACCCACTCCAGCTTTCTTTCAATTGAAACATCCATCGGTTTCTTCGAAATCGACTTCCAAAATCCTTCCCTCCGAACTTCTCCCTTGTCTTGTCTGTACGACACCGCACTCGCCTGGATGGGAGACTCTTAAGAGGGCGAACACCAAGACTTCCCCCCTCTCCCCAGCTTTTTGTTGACACTCTTTACTCCAGACATTTTCGCTCCCTCGACTTCCGCAAGTGGAGATCCCAATTTCTCTCTCGGGCGAAGGACAACGCTGGCACTGTTTCCTCCGTCGCATGATCAACTCTCTTACTCACACATCCTGGCGCCTTTTGCTGCAGGTCCTCTACTACACTCCACGTAACCGTGCAGCAAACTGGAAAAGCTACATATCGGACCACACTAGACAATCGCGACCCTCAGGATTACTCTTGTCGGTCCAATCTCCGATTGCTCAAATTATCACCCTTCCCCTTTGGACCACCTGCATCACTGCGTTGGCAGGCAATCCTGCATTTGCTCTCCCGATCCTCGTCGCCGATTTTCCCTTCTTGCGCAGCCTTTCTCTAGTCTCCGGACGGCGAGTGACGCCAATCGACGCGAAGGCCGAATTTCCTTGCTCAATTCCAACAATAATATCTTTTTTTTTTCTTTACCCTTTCCACACACCCACCCACACACACACACCCTTTGGCGTCTGTAGAAGCTACGTTCGGAGGGGCTCTGCTGACAGCTAAGCACATGCGCGGCGCATACGGATATTGACTTGCATAATTTCGCTCACCAATTTCTGTTCCCATTACCTTTCGATACTCGCCTTTGGGGGTTCCTCGGTCCTCCTGCCTCCCACAGGAAAAGAACCTCAACCCACCGGCACCAACTACGGCCAATTGGTTCGAGCTCCACACGTCCTCGCATATTTGCTGCAGAGGGACAGCTTTCCCCGCGTATTAGGAGATCCGCCAACCAAGGAGGGGTAAAATTAGGGCACCAGAATAGGATACAACGCGGGCAAATCAGATCATATCAGGAAAACCTGACGAAAATCGGTTCCGGAAAAGAAAAAAGAGACCAAGGCTGAGGGTGCCAAGTCATTCATCATTTTTGGCTTTACTTGGGTTGACGGCAAGACAAGCGATCAAAGAGCCTTTCCCCCCACCCACGCAGTGCCACTGTTACACGAAGCCAGTATCTGTCTCAGTTGTTATCAGGAACCCGGATCCCGTACTCTCGCGAGCGCTCTCCGGCAGGGCTCTCCGCATTGCATCAGAGGCAGGCCAAGATGCAGATATCAAAGACAGAGCAATCCCGCTAAGCAAGTGGCTTTTGCATCGCTCAGCCAGACACGTTCCCCTTTTCGGCTCGTATTGCATTCTTGCTATAGGCCGCCATATCAGGGTCAACACGGCCGCCTAGTTACTGCACGTCGCTGTTCATTCGTCCCCTGAAGAGTCCAGGTGACTCCAGCTTTGGCACGGTTCACGACAGGTCTACAGTCTCACGTTTTGCAGCCGGGTGGTACGTCTGGCAGGTATCCGCAATGGCTTACGCCGCTGCTTCGTCGCCTTCAACCATAAATGGCGACACCCAAGCAAGTTTAAAACTTACTGGCTCACTCCCGAAACCTCCAAAACTACATAATGTCAACACATCTGTTCCCCCCGCCCCCAATCCCTCCTCCGCTCCGCCCTGTGCCTCTCTTTACTCATATACACCTAACTCATTACGTCCTTCATACACCTTCTCAAATGCTTCGAGCCCTTCCGGCACCCCTCTACAATCGGCTACTGACGCGCTCCGTGGTCGAATACCCTCATTCCCTCTGATACCCCCAGCCCATCTTGAGCTTGGAGATTCAATCATGGCTGTTCCTGGGAGTGCTAGTGCTTCCGGGTCGGGGGATGCGGCAACTCAAACGACAAACAAAGGCCCAGGATTGATGCGCAGAATCTCCCGAGGAGCAGCCAACAAGCTCACTCGGAGGCGGCAATCCGCGACCCAAAATGATAAGCGGGACCGTAGCTCCGGTCCCGTTATCATGCGCAGACGCAGTGACAGCAAAACTGGACAAAATAGCTGGGAAAGTGCGCTTGAGTCCAGTAATGAAGAAGACAGCAATGATGCTCTGGACTCTCTGGGAGTTTGGTGTGGCTCTGAGGCTTCTAGCTTGCAGAACGAGATGTTTATTCCCCCTACTCGCACGGTTAGTGCAGTTGCACCGAAAGTTGATGCAATGATTCAGCGCGGCGTAATCTTCACGAAAATCACCAAGAAACGACGGAAGCAAGTGCGCTTCTTTCTCGATCTCGACGCTGGCAAAGTTTACTGGGATCTTTCGAATCCGACGAAAAGGTTTTATGTCGATGACATTAAGGAGATTCGCGTGGGTGTCGATGCGCGCAATTATCGTGAGGAACATCAGGTTTCACAGGATTTCGAAAGTAGATGGATCACCGTTGTCATCGCCGACGCAGAACGATCGAAGGGACGATCTGTCAAGACACTGCACCTGATTGCGCCGAGTGATTATACCCTTGAGCTTTGGACGACAACCCTGGAACACATCTCACGCTATAGAATTGGTCTTATGGCTGGCCTAGCTGGTTCTGGCCAGAGTGAGGCGGTCTTGAAAGCCCACTGGCAGCGTGAGATGACCAGATTATATCCAAAGGGTTTAAAGCTCGGCGAGCTCGAGAGCTTGGATTTCGAGGCGGTTGAGAGTGTATGCCGCAGCTTGCACATCAATTGCTCCAAGAATATGCTCCGCGCCCAATTCTCTAAGGCGGACAATAACAACAAGGGCAAGTTATATTTCTCCGAGTTCAGTGATTTTGTTGCTCGTTTGAAGGAGCGGAAAGATGTCAAAGCTATCTTCAAAGAGCGTGTTGCAAGTTCTGAAGGCTTTACTTTGGAAGAATTCCTAGCATTCCTTCGTGACGTGCAGAACGAAGATGTCGAGTCTGACCGAAGCTACTGGGTGTCTATTTTTGATCGGCTTGTGCGCAAATCAAGGCCCCGTGCACCCAGTCTTCCAGAGCATCCGGACGGAAGACCCACTGGAGTTCCGCGTCTGGGTCTTGATGCTTTCACCTCGTTTCTATCTTCTTCTTGGAATGGGGTCTATGCCTCCCGCGCCCCCCAGTCCAGGTTTGATCGTCCTTTGAACGAATACTTCATCTCCAGCTCGCACAATACGTACCTCCTAGGTCGCCAGGTAGCTGGTGCGTCCAGCACCGAGGCATACATCAGCGCTTTGTCCCAAGGGTGTCGTTGTGTGGAGATCGATTGCTGGGACGGAGCTGATGGCCGACCCATTGTCTCTCACGGAAGGACCATGACTACCAGCGTCCTCTTCGCCGACTGCATCACTGTCATCAACAGATACGCATTCATCAGCACAGACTTTCCGCTTATCCTCTCTCTCGAAGTTCACTGCAATCCCGAGCAACAACTAGCCATGGTGAGAATCATGAAGGAGACCTTCAAAGACCAATTAGTCTTGGAACCCCTTCTTACAAATACGTTCGTCCTTCCGTCGCCCGAGGATTTGAAGCGTCGCATCCTTGTGAAAGTCAAAACTTGCGATGAAACAGAAGGTGGCATGCGACAAGAGTCTACGGGTTCCTCGATCAGCGTCGGTCGAAAGCGCAGCTCAAGCTCCCCATTTATGCACCCGACGGTGCCTGAGTACCCTCCAGTTTCCAACCTTGTACCTCTTGCTGGGCCTTCCACGGCTGGCCAGGATGGTATCGATACATTCCTTTCCCAGGATAGACGGTCCTTCACGACCACCAGCATAAGCAGCGCCACGGAAGACAGTGATGGCGCATTGACGTCCATGAAAAGGGAACGGAAACGACGCCAGAAGAGCAAGATAACCAAGCCATTGTCGGACTTGGGAGTGTATACTCGAGGCTACAAATGGCATAGCTTCACGTCCCCGGAAAGCCAGCGGTATAACCACGTGTACTCGTTCGCAGAGCGTTCTTTCGAGAGTATCTGCCGCGATGCAGATAACAAAGCTGTTTTCGAGAAGCACAATCGAAAGTATCTGACAAGGGTCTATCCATCTGGCTTCCGTCTGAGGTCCTCTAACTTCGATCCCCTCAAATTCTGGCGTCGCGGAGTGCAGATGGCCGCTTTGAACTGGCAAACCTACGATGTTGGAATGCAGTTGAACCAAGCCATGTATGCCGCCGGGACTGATCGGACAGGCTACGTACTTAAGCCCGAGTCTCTTCGCACAGTGACCACTGGCGAAGATAGAAGAAAGAGCACGGAGCGGAAATGCGTTCGGTTTACGATCGAAGTCGTCTCTGCTCAGCAACTACCGCGCCCTCGCAGCCTTGGACCGGACGATAATATCAATCCGTACGTGGAGGTTGAGATATTTAGTGCCGATGATCGAGGTCAGAGCTTCGTATTTGGGGAAGGTGGCCTGAACACTTCGGCGCGCAGTGGCGTGTCAGGCATTGGCTATCCGCACCGTCGGCGCACGAAAATCGAGCAGAGCAATGGGTACAGCCCCATCTTCAATGATTGCTTCAAGTTTGCGCTGGACACGAAGTATCCCGACCTTGTGTTTGTCCGTTGGACGGTCTGGAGCTCGCTGGACGGCCGCAGTGCAGGGAACAACAGCAGTGTCCAGTTGGCCACCTTTACTGCCAAACTTACCAGCCTTTCTCAAGGATACCGCTATCTGCCGTTGTATGATGCAGGCGGCGACCAATATCTCTTTTCAACTCTGTTCTGCAAGATTACTAAGGATGGTATCACTCCCGCCTACTTTGGACGAATCGATCCCGATGACCTTCGCGCTGAGCGATTGGGTCTTCTCCGTCAAATCGGTCAAACCGTGTTCAAGCGCTCGTCATCCACGGAGCGGGAGAAGGACTCTTTCTCCGACAAGGGTAGTGAGATCCCGATGAGCTCAGAGGACAACCATTCTCCTACGTCTCCGACTCTGACGCCAACAGTGTCAGCGGCATCTACTTCTTCGCTGCCTCCTTAGCACCCTCCCCAGGGGATTTCGGCACAGTGTGAGGTCATTTCCACTCTTTCTAGTCTTCGCTGTGCCCCTTAGGGGCTTGTCTACATCTCCTTTTGCTATCACGCTGTCATATTCTGTTTCCATTCATGTGCAAGTATGGGATTGGCGTTCTGTCAGCTTTGGCTGCCTCTTTTTGCATTTTCTTTTTATCCTTTCCTGATGTCTTATGGGAGCCTGAGGCGCATCACGGTCGCAAAACGGAAGCCACAGGCGGGCTCACATGGAAAGCATGATCTCACATCTTCGGATTTTACCTTTTGTTAACTATCTGGGGCGACGCATGGAAGTCCCGAGAAGGCGGGTTCTTGGTGTTATTTACTACTTGTGTTCTAGCTCTTGTGTGTGTGTGCGTGTCTGTATGTCTGTGTTGGCATTTGAGTGCCTTGATTTATCCGCGATACCCTTTTAATCTTGACGTTTTTGTGTTGCTCTTATGCGTTGCATGGCTGTGTGATTATCATTGCAGACCCACTTTCCATTCTCTCTACTGTTTTGCTTGCATGTCCATTTAACTCAGCATCTGTCTCGGGGTTTTTCTTTGGGTCCGATGTACCATTTCAGAGATCATTTGTCGTTGCATCGGGGTGGTATATTCAGGGAAGAGGGAGTCACCGAGGAAACGGTTGCATCATTCGGCATCACTGGCGGGGGATCAATGCATTATGAAGCGAGGTTTAAAGGCCTCTTGAGGAAGCTGGCTATCATGGTTTGGTCCACTGTCGCTAGAGTATCCGGAAGAGATCCTAGCCCATGACAGGTCTGTTGCTTACATTTTTGTACTTTTGTGTGTTAATATGAATTCGCGGCTGGGACGCTTTTTGCTTCGATTCCGGGCCTTTACCCAAGTTTGGCTTATATCCTTCAACTGTTCCTTCTTGTCTGCAGTATGCGTAAGATTCACTCCTTTAACAGTAGAGGCATTATGGCTTGCTTAATGACCATATATGACCTCCAGCGCTACTGGATGCGACAGTCTCTTGACTGGCAGCCACAATGGTCAGCTGAATAATTTGAAGCCCGCGAAAAACTCCTTGAATAGCTGCCAGTCATGCCGTATAGTAATTCTTTATTTCCTCTCCAGTCTCTCGCATACTCGGCCAACCTGCCCCAGTGCGGGCCACCTGCCTCCCACCGCCCGCGGTAAAGGCAACGTGACGACTTCCGCCTCCGCGGATGGCCATCCCAAGCCTAACTATACACCCCAAACCCATTCATTCTCTTTCATTCATTCTTCCTTAATCTCTCCTTTTAACCGTCGCAATGGATCCTTTTTCTGCAGAGGGTGGTATGTTTTGTCCATTGAGCAAACACACACATACAATCCCCCCTTATGACCTCAAAGCGCTAACTTGCCTCATCCCCCCAATAACAGAGCTAATCAACATCCACAATGCCTTTCACCAAGGCCAATACCAAGCCGTAATCGAATTCGACACCTCCGCTCTATCCCCCGAGAACCAACTCCCTGCCCGTGTCCTCCAGCTTCGCGCCAAGATCGCCCTAGGCCAATCAGATGAAGTTCTCGCCGATGTCGAAGGCGAGGAAGAGACCCCCGATCTAGCGGCCGTGAAAGCGCTGGCCCAGCAGTCGACTGGAGATGCCGAATCGGCGTTGAAGCTGGCTCAGGACCTTGCGGAGAATTACCCCGACAATGCTACTGTACAGGTTCTGTGCGGGACGTTGCTGCAGGCTCAGGGACAAAGTGAGGATGCGTTGGCTTTATTGACCAAGCATCAGGGGAACCTCGAGGCGTGAGTTTTAGCCGTCAATTTGCCATGTGCACTGTCTGTATAATGGGTGGAACTCAGGAAGCTAATGGACAATGATATAGTGTGGCCTTGATCGTCCAGATTCATCTTCAGCAGAACCGCTCTGATCTCGCCTTGAAGGAAGTCCAGGCTGCAAAGCGCTGGGCGCAGGATTCCCTCTTGGTTAACTTGGCTGAGTCGTGGGTGGGAATGAGAGTGGTATGTGTCACACCCTGCTGCAGCCTCCTTGCTGTTTGTTCGAGGGTAAGCGATGAAACTAATATGCTGTTGCTTCGGCTTTTAGGGCGGCGAGAAATACCAGGCTGCATTCTACGTCTACGAGGAATTGGCTTCCGCTCCTAGCAGCTCCGCGCCCCTCTCTATCGTTGGTCAGGCCGTGGCAGAACTCCATCTCGGTCGGTTGCCTGAGGCCGAGGCCGCCTTGACTGCAGCTCTGCAGCAGTATCCCGACGAGGCGGAACTGATTGCGAACACTGTTGTGCTGAACGTCTTGGCTGGCAAGCCCTCGGAAGAGTTGGAGCAGTACGTTCACCCTCCTACCCCTAAACCCATCGATCTGCGGACGAATGTGTAGCTAACGCATGCATTGCACTTACTATAGGCGCCTCGAACAGATCAACCCCGCGCACCCCCTGCTCTCCGATCTTCAAGCAAAGAGTGAACTGTTCGATACCGCGGCTGCGAAGTATGCTCCCAGAGTGTCGGCTTAATCTAGGATATCCGTTGTTTACTTTTGTGCTGCTTGCATTGTTTTTGTCTCCTGATCTCCATCTTGTACCCCTCTTCTTGCTCCCTGGGCGTGATATTGTTTCCGATTATGAATTGATACGACGGCGTAGCTATGTGTAAGCTAGTTATTGTCCAGCGAATGCTTCCTGCCTTATCCTATTTTGCCCCGTCTAGTCTGCACTTGCCCGTTTTCTGTGTATAACGAGGGACCAAGAATCTACCAGTATCAGCAGACAGGCTGATAGATTATATTAGTTGTACGTTATTTGGTGTACCTTCCCCAATTTGGGCCAGGGATTACAGACTTGTTACCTGAACCTTCACAGGAAAAGCGACCGAAAGCCAGAGAACATGGCTAGCAACGGGACCCTTCAGTCTGCATTGTACAATAAATGTGTAGTTGTCACCTACTCGACAGCTGACACTACTAATCAATCTCACAGCCGAGCACCTAACCAATTAATGATTGCCTGGGTCTGCTGAGTATCATAGCCAACTATATCTGCAGCGAAGACAGCCGAGTCATGGGTTTCGTCTTGTGCCACAACATAAACAGTATTGGGTACGACTTTCTGTTTATAGTGGCAAAAGGTCAGTTTGTGCAATGTAACTAGGGGTAAAATACCAGCAAGATGCAGTCAACCAAGAGAGGGGGGAAGGTGGAGGGGTACGAGAAGTGACGAACGAACCTTGAATCTCTCCACAAACTCATTGATTGGAGAGAGTAAAATCTCATCTCTCCCGGCAGTCATTAGGAAATCTTCTGCTTTTAATCCCTCCCACCAATCCATGGGAGCTCGAGCTGGCTCACTCCAAGGGTCACCTTCCTTACCCGCCAGGTACTGATTAGACCAACGGTCGAGAATCTCCTTAGAGAGGGCATCCTTGTAAGCGTTTTCCCGGAAACTATGGCCGTCCATCTTGTAACTGATCCACGGTGCGCAGCCAAATACACCTGCCAAGGGTTGGGAGATACTGAGAGGCTCGATCTCAGGGTGTGGATGGGTGAGGTGCAAAAGCACAGCTAGAGAGAGGTTTCCACCAGCGGAATCACCACCCAGGAAGATGTTGGCTGGGGAGCGGCCTGTCTCGGTGAGGATGTAGCGGAGGGCTTCAACAGACTGGCGAAGTTGAACGGGATAAACAGCGTGCGGCATAAGAGAGTAGCTGAGAAAGAAGATAGCAAGATCGTCATGGCCAGCTTCGTTCAGGCGGTTAAGTATATGTGCTAGTAGCTGGTAATGATGGGGACGACCAAACAGAAAGAATCCGCCTCCTGGACAGCTGGGTTAGTATGGTACAATTCGAGAATCAACTTGATCAAGGGGGGTAAAATGGGAGACAGGAACGACTCACCATGATAGTAGACAATGACATTTTTGGCATTTCTGTTGCCAATCCAGTGACCTTTAGCGCCGTGGTTGAGAGGCACAGTCTGCGGCTGGAGACCTCGGCTGGCCATGAACTGTCTGTATACTTCATCGGTAGGGGTGTCCTGGAGCCTGGGATGGAGGTTAGCAGGCAGTGTCCGGTCGTAAGGAGAATTAGAACGCACTGCAATTGTCTCTCTGTGAAGGTGACACAAACTTTGCGCGTTACAGCGTTGAGCACATGGACCTTGTACTGCTTGGCGCCATCCTTGCCTCGAAAGGCAGCTGTAATGGAAACAGAAAGGAGAGTCTTATAGACAATCAATCTGTTCCATGCCTCCTGCACCTTCTCCCAAAAGGTTAGAGGTTGCTTCCAGGACGACATGGTGCGAGAAAGTGGTATGTGAGAGGAGAGGAGAGGATGTGGAGAGGAATTGAAGGTTTAAAAGTGAGGGTCGATACCCCCGCTTTCGAGGTGCTGCCGGCTGAAAGTGGTAGGCAAACATAGTATATCCGGCAATTGATTGACTGTCCAGAGCAAGGGGCAGGTGGAGTGCATATGCACCGATAGGAAGAATGGAGCAGCTCTTCCACTGTGCTTAAGCCAGCCCCCGCAGCTGAAGAGATGACCTCGGCTCGGAACTACTAGTTCAGAAGTATGTGATATTTCCCTCTAACGCATTATAGCTTAGATATAGACACATTCTAGTTTCCATTCACCATGTCCTCCTTGCCCGTCAGATCACAGAATGCCTTATATGTGGTAAACACATCCTCCTCTCCACTGCCCGTACTTTCGACGATACACTCGGCGTTGGCTCCCACAAAGAATACATAGCCTTCCTTCACTTCCTCAGTCTTGTGGCCGACCGTAATCTTCCCAGTTCCGCCTGTGCATATCAGGATGCTGGGACCCACCAGTGCGTCGAAAGTTGCTTTGGCCCCAGCCCTCTTCAGATCCGTCTTGACCACACTAAACTCTTCAATCGGAGGGTCGTAGAGAAGAGACGATGAACCACTTGAGTAGGCGGAGGCATTGAGAACGGCATATGGATAGTCGGTCGGCTCCAGCTTTTGCTCTTCAATTGGCGCATAGGAGTATGTCAGCATTTCGGTGAGTGTATCAACGTCCTTGAACTTGGGAGTGAAGCCCGCCCGCACAACGTTATCAGACGACGCCATGCATTCGATAATGTCTCCAGAGATGTATGCATGGATGTCATCAGCCTTCAAGAACATGGCTTCACCTGGTGCCAGCTTGACAAAATTCAGGAAGAAGAACACGAATAGCCCGATGTCGTTAGGGAATTGTCCGTTAAGTCGAGCGATAATGGCAGCCAATTCGGCAGGGTTGCTCGGATTCGTCTCCGGAGTGCTGGTAGAAGTAGCAAATGTATCAGGAGAATCCTGAGCCGCAGAGATCAGCTTCTGGGTGGCAGCCTCAATGCTTTCCGGTGATGACTTCATTAGCGATGTGAATAGGGAGCGTAACGCGTCCTTGTTTCTTGCCATTTTGTCAGAATCCTGCGAGTCTTCAGATCCCTTGACAACACTCTCGAATTGATTCACTGCTTGCGTGCCGACTAACTCGCGGAGAGGGGCGACTGCGTTAAGGAAGTGAACGATTTCGGCCAGCGGTCGGAAGCCGCACAGTCCTTCGAACGGGGTGATCGCAATTGTCATTTCGGGTTTGTGATTATCATCTATAAAGCGATGATCAGAGTTGCGATTGTTATCAGATAGAATTATATAGGTTACCTGGATAGTTTCGGGCGTCCCGGGCATGAAGCTTTTCAGCCAGTTTCTTATTCGGATGGGCTTGGATACTGAGAGCCTTTTGAACAGAAAGAACCTTGAAAAGGAAAGGCAATTTCCCTCCATATCGCTCGCTCACTTCCTTGGAGATCAATGCCTGGTTATCCTGGACCATATCGAGGAGGGTTCGCTGGGTTTCGACATCTTTGGAGGGAAGGGAAGGATGGGTGCCCATCCACAACTATACGTCACCGGGTCAGTTTACCGCCATGAGAACATCAAGAATTCAGGGAGCGAACCTCTGCATACGGCTTCTCAGGTTCTATGGAGAAATCGGAGCCTGCAGTAATGGCGGCATACTTTGCGGCAGCAGACTCATGACCAATCTTGCCTAGACCAGCTTCAGCAAACGCAACGGGCGGACCAATCCAGGATGCGGGGATGTCCTACCCCAGTCATAGCTGTTGACACCTGAGGATAAAGAAGACGGACTATTAGTGACATTATTCTCTAATTTCGAGTTGAAGGCTCGGGGGAATGAATACTCACCACACTGAAGGCGAAGCAACGGTACCTGCATATTGCTGAGGGGGCTAATAAGCTAAGTACTGTATTGGTGGTGAAGGGGAAAGTAGAGAGGATAGACAGGAGGAAAGAGCGAACTAGTGAATGAATGGCGGGGGAGAGGAACAACGGCAGCTCAAGTGGAATACTACTCAATAAATCCACTCGCTCACTTGAAACTTGTTCTATCTGTCACAGCAGAGCAGAGAAGGGAAAAAGAGACAGAACTCAGAGACACAACACTGGGTTTTTGAGTCCTTGAGCGACCAAATAATTCTTGCTTTCGTTCCCCCGGTGTCTCAGAGGGTGAGCCCCTCCATCCCGCCCAACTCGTTTATCGACCATTAATTATCATTATCATTACTACCCCATTCCCGATTGGGTGTGCCGCATCCGTTACGTGAAGCGGAATGGAATCTGCCAATCAGAGAGTCTCCTGGGGCGCAAAGCGCTTACCGGCTAGCCGCGAAGGGAAGCTCTCCGCCCAAGGAACAGCTTCGCAGTCGGACGCTCAGCATGACGGGGTCCCTGAAGCTCAGGTTCCCGTGTCTCCTCCGTCCCAATCAGTCGGGCCCAACAGGCTTTCCACCCCGGACAATCCGTTTTCTGCAAAGCCTCAGAGTGCCTTTGCTGTTCGTCCCCACAACCTCAGACAAGGTGCTGCCCGTGGTACTCGAAGCTCTGCCCGGCAGGCTATCCTTTCCGCCTTCGAATGGGAGGCTCTAATTATCGAGAAATCTAGAGACTCCGCGCCCGTTGCAACCTCGGCTAAAACCAGGAACAGTCAACCAAGGGCTACTACGACTGCTGCTGCTGCTACTGCTACTGCTGCTACAGCTTGGGATCTAAGCTCACCTTCCAAGAAGATCAAGAACATGTCCCGGAATCGGCCAAGAGGTCCTCCAGTCCCCAGGGACAACGGACTGGCAGCCAATGAGGAGACTGACATGTGGAACAAGATCCTCCAGGACCTGCGCAAGGCGAAGGAGAAGAATGACAAGCAGAAGGCGCTGGCGGAGCAAATCGCCGCCTTGAACGAGAAAATTGGTAAAGAGGGTGGAAGTAAGTCTTATATAACACTTTCTTTCTGATCCGCCTCACCCACATACTGTATGCCCTGCACAAATTGAACATAGCCCCGAATCGCTGAATGTGTTGTGACACTGGGGCTTTCCTTTCTTCGTTCCGTTCTACAGTTTGCATGAGACCTTCTAGCTATCCTGTCCTGACTGTCAGGCTGATGTTTCAACCCGTTTACCTTATCTTGCATTCTTAACATCTTGTCATTGTTTGCCTTTGTTCATCTCATGGCTTTTACTTGCTCTTGAGATCATGGATGCTAACCAACGAAACAGAACCTTCGCTCAGCGAGCATGATCAGCTTGATAGTCTATATCGACAAATGTCTAAGCTGTGCGACGAGGAGAGAGCCATTCTCCAGGATGAGCCTAGCGATGTTATCAAGAACTTGGGTCTCCTGACCGCGCTTCGACAGGCCTCCGAAGCGGAGGCCCCTCAAAATCGCGCTGCTACATTTTCCAAGTCGCGGAAGAAGCGAAATGAATTGGATGGGTCAGCGACTGATTCGCCTGGGCCCTCCACTACTGCCTTGCCAGACAAGGTTGGTCGCACGAAAGGCGGCGTTCAGCGTAGCACCAGTGTTTCCAGCACTCAGGTCCGTGACAGCCGAGACATCCGCGACAGCGGTGTGTATGTCAAAGTAGAAGAAGGCACGGAGGGTACCAAGGGTACCCTTGCAGAGCGCAGCGGACACCTGGTGGTTGGGGCGGAGGTTGTCTTCAAACACAACAAGAACAAACAAGGGGTCGAAGGCGAGGGCATTCAGTGCATTATCAAGGCGATCTCTGGGGATGGAGTGAAAAAACGGTACGGCGTGACGCCCCAGTCCACTTCCACAGGATCATTGACCGATGTATCTTTCAAGGTATGATGTGCAGGACCCGGAGCCAAACGAGAATGGTGAACAGGGAGCTGTTTACAAAACCACTGCCGCCTCTCTGATCCCCATTCCCCAGATAGGGTCAGCCTTGCCCTCATTTTCTGTAGGGAAACAAGTTTTGGCGAGATATCCCGATACGACCACGTTCTATCGTGCAGAAGTCATGGGCTCCAAAAAGGACGTCTACCGCCTCAAGTTCGAGGGCGAAGAAGATGACAAAGAGATGGAGGTAGATCGACGCTTCGTACTTGATATACCTGGGAAGTAGAACAAGTCTTGGGATGTCAACGTTACGCTACGAGAGATCTACGGAGCGCTGTCTCTCCTCGAGTGACAGCGCCAGTAAGAGAGGGAAACTGCCCAAGAGGGCAGGCGAACAAAACAGGGGGGCGAGGCAGAAAAGACGGAGGGGAAAGAAAGAAGGGACAGGAAAAGACACAGGGAGAAAAGAAAAGATAATTTGCACCATGATCGGTCGCACTATTTGATACCCATTTATTGAGCTGGAATGTTTCAATTTGGCGGGTAAGGCGGAAAATCACGGATTTACGGAGTTAGGTTTGCTTTGGATGAGTGGGATGATCGCCACAAGTTGCTGGTTTATGCGGGAGGTACAATAGTCACTTAGTTATTAGTTTGGAGTAAGACCCTGGGTGACACTTCAAATTCCTTGCATAGACAGGGTTCAACCTACTTGCCACCTATGGTTATATGTAGTGTCTATTCCGTATTATTCTCAGATTCAGCTAGTTCTAACAGACACACTAAAGGTGCCTAATAACCGGTCCAGAAGCTTCCTCTGCAGTAAGAATTACATAAGGCATGTCAGGCCTGACAAATGGTGGTGAGTCAGCGACTTTTCCCCCACCGAGGCCGCCGTTGATCCCGAGGGTCCGAAACCACATGCGGCGCCGAAGAAGAGCAAGTGCGGGATAACTGGCCCATAGTCATCCCACGGCAATGGTGATACTTTACAACTGCTCTCTATGATCATGTTCCCCCCTTTCGCCGTCCCACTGCTACAATTTTAGTCCAACCTATTGTTGAAGTCCTCTGCTATATCTTCGCCCCTATAGCTCTCGCTCCCTTTGCCTTCCGTCTATCTGCGCGTTGTCATCCGCGCTCATCATGTCGAACCTACCTTCCCACGCCTCCCCAACCTTCACGGCGCAAGATGCGCCCTCCCGCCCCGTGGAAGAACTTTCCATTGGTACAGATCAAACAACAAGTCTGCCCTCAGGTAGTAGGGTAGACGAGCTTCGTGACAATGCTATCGCCCAGTCCGACAGCGCAGATAGCGATCGGGGTGATGTAACCCCCGCCGTGCCTGCCTCTCTTCTCTCCCCTTCCTTTACCCCTCCAGCTACCCCGGGTGGCACATTCAATCCAGCCAAATTGCTTCAACAGACTCAACAGCTACCACACACGAAAGCCCCGAAACTCCTTCCTTGCCTTCCCGAAGTCGAATGCATCGTTCGCGCACGGATTCCGACCACTACCGGCGCGGAGATGTTTCTCCACCTCTATCACAACAACCTGGACAACAAAGAACATTTGGCAATTGTCTTTGGAAACACCATTCGAAGTCGGAGTCTGGACAAGGTTCGGCCAGGGGAAACGGAAATGGATCGTATGATACGTGGAGCTTATGTGGGCAAATTGCATCCCGGTCGTGTGAGCAGTTGGTATGACGATGGGAACGCTGAAAGTGCAGCTGGTGGGCAAGGCAGCAGTGCAGCTGCCGACGGTGGACCTGTATCAACAGAAATCGCAGCTTCGACGGAGAGTTCGCCTAGTCAAGCGCCACTGGTGAGGATACACTCCGAATGCTATACCGGAGAGACCGCCTGGTCTGCGCGCTGCGATTGTGGTGAACAGCTGGACGAAGCAGCCAGGCTGATGTCCTTCCCCATGGAGACTCTGAGTGAAATGGCTTCCCAACAGGCTGTGCCGGTGCCTTCCAATGCCTCTGGCGGGGTGATTGTCTACCTGCGGCAAGAGGGTCGCGGAATAGGATTGGGCGAGAAGCTCAAAGCCTATAATTTGCAGGATCTTGGCTCCGACACTGTAGAAGCTAACCTTCTCCTGCGACACCCTGCTGATGCGAGAAGCTACGGTCTGGCTACCGCGATCCTGGTCGATCTTGGGTTGGGTGTGGATGCCAATCCTCACGGCATCCGACTCCTTACGAATAATCCGGACAAAGTTCGAGCCATTGAGGGTGCTAATCGGGAGGTGGCGGTTAAGGAGCGTGTGCCAATGATACCTTTGGCATGGAGGTCGGGGGGAAAGCAGGGCATCAAAAGTCTAGAAGTAGAGGGCTATCTCAGGACCAAGGTAAGTTTTGCTGGTCTCACCATGTTATCTTTTAAACTGGTCTTCCCGAGGCTGGTTGTGCTGTTTTCTTTTCTTTTTCCCACTCCGCCTCGGTTGTTCGGTTGCGGTACTTTTGTAATGTTGTTCTGGCCAGGGGTGCTAACTTTCTTGGGTACAACTAGATCGCGAAAATGGGACACATGATTGAATAAAGTCGCTAGATTCAATGCATGTCTTTTCTTTTCTTTTCTTTTCTTTTCTTTTCTTTTCTTTTCTTTTCTTTTCTTTTCTTTTCTTTTCTTTTCTTTTCTTTTCTTTTCTTTTCTTTTTCATTATGGTTGCATCTGCTCACTTATCTGCTTCACCCACTATATAGCCGTTTGTCGATCGGGTGTACTATATGAGGCCTCGGGTTGGGTCTCGGTAATGCTGTACAGTTATGAACTGATTTTATGAGCTAAGAGGATATCGTTATCCCTCAGGACTCCTGTACCTATGTTCCTTTTGATTCCGAACATTTACGAAGGACGGAGTGATCTATGTCTGCGTGCTTTCTCACTAATCTGGTGCACTGGTCTGGTTAGGCATCACCAGGGTTGTGGATACCGAAAGAGGCTTTTAACTTTGATACCATCTGATTGACACCAAAGGTGAAAGGAGAAGCCAATTGAGGAGAATGATCTGTCATTGTATCATGTGCCGACAACCCGAGACAAGTACATCGTAGCTTTTGGATTCACCAATTCATGAAGGGATTTAGTATCTGTATCTAGTACTATAGCTCTGGGGTCCAGAACCTTGGCGAGGGACTTTTCTCTTGCCTCTCTTCGGGATGCGCGGGACAGAAAGCGGAGCAGCGCCACAACTATGGAAGTTTAGAGCATCCCAAAGATCTAAGACACTCCGGCTCGGCCGTAGCCTGGCATTTCTGCAAGATTCTTGTCTTCTTGCCGTCAGGGAGAGGAGAGGGCAAAAAAAAAAGGCAAAACGTGGTGCCGATTATTGACTTTGGGGCAACTCCACCGCAGCCAACCAGACTGACTGTCTCCTCCGACCAGAACTAACAGCTGAAGGCTGCCTTTCCCCAATGATCCTTTCCCTATTTTTCTCCTCTTGCCCCCTCAAATGACTCGCCGGTCCTTGTGCCAGTCCTTACTCGTCCGGATCGGCTGCTCCTTTTATTTTTTTTTATCTCTCTTGTGCTTCCCTTCTCGATGCCACCCTGATCATCCTCCAGTTAAACCCCAGATCCTCCTTAATTGTCTGGGATTCTGATCCGCCTTGCTTGTGCTCCTCCTTCCCGTCGTATTGCATGGCCGCTGCGTTCCCGTAGCCCGCGAGTGAGGCCATGGCCACCCGCCTTCCTTCTCTAACCGATGTCGCTGCTTCGGCGAATCTTGACTCTTCCTCCTCAGTCCCCTCCGCTCCCTTCTCCGCTGCTGCTACTACTGCTACTGCCCCGGCCTCGTCAGTTCAGGGTCCATCCACCGCTGCCCCGGTCGCCACTCCCGGATCCGACGTGGTGAAATTGGAAGACTCCCCCACACCGTCCGCATTGACCTCCGCAGACGCAGAAACACCCGTACCGGATAACATTGGAACACCGGCAACAGGCGCAGGTCGCAAACGCAAGCTCAACTGCACCTCAGCGCGAGGTGTAGCGAATCTCACCCCGGAGCAATTGGCGAAGAAGCGGGCCAACGACCGGCAGGCCCAGCGCGCCATTCGCGAAAGGACGAAAGCTCATATTGATTCTCTGGAACAACGAGTTCGGGATCTTTCGTCGCAAAAGCCGTTCCTGGATCTTCAGGCGGCTTTGAGGCAGAATGAAGTCATTCAAGCTGAAAATCGGGAGATTCGACATGGGCTGAAAGCGATCATGGATATAATCCAGCCTTTGTTGGGGCAGCAAGAGAAGCCGAGTATGTTCCCATGAAAATTACACATCTCGTCAGGGAGACAGTTGCATTAACAGTTCATTCTTCCAGATACTTTGGCCGCGACGCCTTCCTCAGCCACCAATCGAATTCCCCCAATAACATCAACACCGCCGTTGTCCGATGCCTTCCGTTTCTCAGCCAATGGCCAGAGGTCAGCCGCTGGCGAGCACCCTACCAATCCCGAGGCATCTTCTTCCACCGCACATGCGGCCTATGCGTCTGGCACGGCACGCCGTGAGATAACAGCAACCGGCCCAGCTTCTTTTCGCATCGCGTTCGACTACCAGCGACACAATCTGGCTCACGGTCTGGACTTTGGCGGGACCGATGAACGAATGGGCTTCAACTTTTTGCTTGACGCATCGCAGCAGGTCCCCAAAGTAGAGGGCTTTCGACGCTCCTCGGAGACACTGAGGCCGCCGTCGAATCCGTCTCCAACCTACCCATCGAGTGTTCATCCTTCTATGGCGGAGCAGCCACTGCCTGCCTACCTGACCCCAATTCGCAACATCGCTCCGACATGCACGCTGGACGCCATTTTGTTGGATTTTCTTCATAATCGACAGCACCAAGCAGCGAAAGGGGTATCAAAGCAGAGCCTAGTCGGACCTTCTTATCCTAGCGTCTCGTCCCTTCTCAACCCAGAGAAAAGCGTTTACTCGCATCCCTTGTCGAAAGTGTTCACCGACATCCTGCGGACCTTTCCGGATATATCCACTCTCCCTGAACAAGTGGCCGTGCTGTTTCTCATGTTCCTCCTCATGCGGTGGCAGATTTATCCGACCCCTGAAAATTATGACCGGTTGCCCGAGTGGCTCACTCCTCGCCCGTCGCAGCTTCTCACGGCCCATCCAGCTTGGATTGACTATCTGCCATGGCCGCGGATGCGAGATCGCCTGGTGATGTCGTATCAGGACTACCCCTTTGAGAACTGGTTCATTCCCTTCACACGCGCCCTGTCTGTGAATTGGCCATACGAAGCGACAGACTGCCTTTTGTCTTCCGGTGACGGTGACGAGCTTATGGTTAACCCTGTCTTTGAAAGACACTTCCGCAATCTCGGTAACTGGTCGCTGGGGCCCGCTTTTGCGGAAGCCTATCCTTCCTTGGTCGAAACCACAAGGATTAAAACTTCACACTGATGCAGACGGATTACCAGTCGTCCCTTGTCAGTGATCAAGATAAATGGCGCATCTTGATGACTTAGATGCTGGGCGTGATAAGCTAGTATCGACTTCGAAGTTTATGTACTTCTCCCTTTCAGCCACCTCTTGCTGTACTTGGTTGCCCTGGTGGTGCTGGCTAACGATGGTCAATATCGTTGGCCGAAACAGCGTACAAAAAGTTGAGCTGAATAACAGGACCGCATACAGTGGTCTTCTTTCCCCCTGGTGCCTTCCGTCTCACACGGTACTCCCTACACCGTGTCACCCATGACCTATGCTGGCAGACAATTGACAATCGTCCCAAGATGTGCTCACATCGTCAGGCTGTGGTGTAATATGTTCCTATTCCAGTGTCCGTGCACGATTATCAAAACGGACTAGTCCTGCGTGGACATTTGTACCACAGCAAGAACCCAAAAAGCTCATATTCTGGCCGGCCCTTAGCTGCGAAGAATGCCTTAATGGAGGGCTTCATGGAGGGGTCTCGAACTCTTCACCATGTAGGCGCATGTCTCTGACTGCGGGCAGGAGGACAGTCCGACAGCGGTTATCTGTCTGGAAGGGCTTTCACATTCTTGGCCCTCTAAATGGTGGATGAAGATCATCGGTTATATTTATCACTATATAAGACAATGTAACTACTATTGTCGCCCCTTTAGAGAGAGATCAACACGACTGGCCTGGTCTTGTATCTACTCTGTAGTCTAGTCTATTGAGAGTTTCCCTGTCGACTCTTTTCATTCCAAAACTCCAAGCCTGCCTTCTGCCGCAGATAGCCGTACATGGAGCTGCTGTCCAAGCATTCGCCCGCGTACTCCCTGGCAGCCTCCATGTTATCGAGAGAAACCTGCAAACCCGGCAATTCCACGTTATGCTGTTTCGCCATGGCAAACGCGTGCTTTGCATCTTTGATGGCCAGAGACACCCCGAAGCCTGGGCGAGAGTCCAATGGCGGTGCATAGGCACCAGTAGTCAATCTGACAGTGTCAGCAATGGATTACCATAAATATGGATAGTCAACACCTAACATGATTGGCACACTCACCGTTTGGAATAACCACCAGCTACACCTCCAAAAGCCTCTCCGATAAGGTCCTCCATAGGCCCTGTACCCAAGCCCGTCTTCTCAGCAAAGACCTGTGCTTCACCAACCGCCTCCATCAAGTTCACCGTGATGATATTGCTAAATGCAACAATACCACTGTTAGCAACCACTCAAACTACCTATTCCTAGTACAAGTTGAGATGGTAAGAACAACATACCCCGCAATCTTCAAAAGCGAAGACTTCATAGCGTCCTCTCCGCAATCAATCACCTTTCTTCCCATCACGTCCTGGATCAACGGCTTCACCACCTCTGCCGCCTGCTTGGGCCCTCCGATGGCAAATACGAGCTTCCCATCCACAGCAATGGGGTTGCCCCCGAAAACAGGAGCGGAGAGGAACTTCGCTTCCTTTTCTTTCAGCTTCGAGGCTGTTGCACCTACAGTCTCGGGAAGAACCGTTGAGCAGTCAACGAAGATCTTGTCTTTGAGGGAGTGGCCAGAGTTGATAGCTGTGGTGACCAATTCTTGCAGGACGGCGTCATTAGAGACCTATTCCTTGTTTAAGCATTGATTCTTTTCATTTCTTGTTCCTTTTAGGCTCTAGTGAAGATACCGGAACTGTTCAAGTAAATGGATTGTTTACATACCATGGTGAAAATAATTCCACATTGCGAGACAAGCTTTGAGAAGTTGTCTGCGGGCGTACCGCCTAGTTTCTTGAGGGGGTCACCTCGGGAAATGGTTCGGTTGGAGTATATGAGACTTGGGGCTGTTTTGCGGGCTAGATGTCTTTGGAGATTGCTGGCCATGGCGAGGCCCATGGAGCCGAGGCCAAACTGATTGGAATTGAAGTTTAGTTCTTGAGCTGACATTTTTCTCTTTCCCGTCGTTTATAACGTACCCAACCAATTCGCGTCATAATGTATGTTGTATGTTAGACTGGAGTAATTTGGGCCTGCCTGAGATGTAGGGCGGGGATTGAGCGGATGTTTGGGGGTCTATATAGACGTCGGTGGTTGTAATTAGACTTCGTTGATGCTATCGGGCGCGCCCGATGCCGGCGAGTTGCTATGGTCATCAAGTCCAGCATTAAAGATCGACTACTGCTGTTTATGGAAGTAGAAGGTTACTAATTGATTGTAGGACTTTTTAAGTCAGTGGCTACTTCCAGTGGCTAATAAGTGGATAATAATCAATCACTTGATTTGAATACAATCTTTCTCGCAGCTCCATGTTTGTAGATTTACTTGTTAAGATATTAGTTAAAGAGATCAAGAAGACCTGGTAATGATGGGCTGTTCAAAGGCAGTTAAGGCTGCCAGGCATACAGGCATACAGGCATCAATAAATGAGACACCGCCTCAGGCCGACCACACGAGACGGACGGTCACGGACCCACTCAGAACCAAAGAGAGAGACGGACAGGCCAGACTGACGATTAGTAGTAGACGGCACTGAACTGCCTGAACTGAACTTACTCCGTAGTTACTACTAACTGCTTCCCAACCCCGTCCAGCCTACCGCTCTCTGGACGTCATCTCCCATGCTCCTTTTGTTTTTACCCCTCCGGAATTGATTAATCTCTTGCAAACTCTCTCAATCTACATCCCTTCACCATGGCTGACATGCCCATTGGTATGTTTATGCGTGTTCCCCCTCCTCTTCCTTACCTTCATCTTCCCTTACCCCCTCCCCGAGTTCTCCTTGTCGGTGCCTGTCCCTCCCGTGCTTCCCAGCTAACCAACCACGCCCCCCAGTGCTCGACGGAGGAACTGGTTTCCTCAAGGTCGGATATGCTGCGCAGGTCTGTCATCACCTCCCATCCCATTGCGTACTCTTACTTACCTCCTCTTCTTCCCCATGGATAGAACTTCCCCGAGCACCAGTTCCCCTCGATAGTGGGGCGGCCCATATTGCGAACGGAGGAGCAGGCCGGCGACATTGTCGTCAAGGATATCATGTGCGGAGATGAAGCTGCTGCTGCCAGATCTATGCTGCAAATCACCTACCCTGTACGTCATTTACATTCGCGTGCCTTCGTTCTCCCCCCACCCCCGATCGCTCCATTGTCTCCCCGGAGGTGTGGCAGACGTGTTAACGTTGGGCCCGACTTGGTATACAGATGGAGAATGGTATCGTGAAGAGATGGGACGACATGCAACACCTATGGAACTACACCTTTTACGAGAAGATGAAGATCGATCCTACGGGCCGCAAGATCCTCTTGACCGAACCCCCCATGAATCCCCTGAAGAACCGGGAGCAAATGGCTGAGGTTATGCTGGAAGGCTACAACTTTGGAGGTGTATACGTTGCTATTCAAGCTGTGCTTGCACTATACGCTCAGGGTAAGTCTTGCACGCTTCATATCCTCTCTCTTATCCCGCAGCTCTGATCGCCCGCTCTTTCGCAATCCACAGGTCTCAGCAGTGGTGTGGTCGTTGACTCCGGTGACGGTGTCACCCACATTATCCCCGTCTACGAATCCACAGTTCTTAACCACCACATTCGCCGGCTTGATGTCGCCGGTCGTGATGTCACCCGTAACCTCATCGCCCTCCTGCTCCGTCGCGGTTATGCCTTGAACCGTACCGCCGATTTCGAAACCGTGCGCCAGATCAAGGAGAAGCTCTGCTATGTGTCCTACGATCTCGAGTTGGACAAGAAGCTCTCCGAAGACACAACCGTCCTTGTCGAGTCCTACACCCTTCCCGATGGTCGCGTCATCCGCGTCGGCAGCGAGCGCTTTGAAGCCCCCGAATGCCTCTTCCAGCCGCACCTGGTGGATGTTGATCAGCCCGGTATCGCCGAGTTGCTCTTCAACACCATCCAGGGCGCTGATGTCGATGTGCGCTCCAGTCTCTACAAGGCTATTGTGCTCAGTGGAGGAAGCAGCATGTACCCCGGTCTGCCTTCCCGGTTGGAGAAGGAGCTCAAGCAATTGTGGCTCACACGGGTCCTGCAAGGCAACCCGGAGAGGTTGAACGTACGTATTCTCATTCACTGG